GTAAAAGGGCTTATTAACATGTTGTATAATCTAAAATATGTAAATATATCGTCAGTGTCATATCAAAATCGCTTTTTTCTTTATGCCATTTGAAAACACCATCTGCACGTTATGTGATCATTTATGAAGAATGGACCACAAGAAACAATCCATCATAAAATCTCATTACATTAACATACAGTCAAATTAAGAATGTTTTTTTTTTTTGCTTCTTTGCTCTTATAAAGTTACCTTTTCAGAGATGAGAGATTTTGTTACAGCAACTATATAGTCCTGTTAATTATAGTCACAAACAGTTAGTTAACCTGTGCTTGAGAGGAGAATAGTTACAGATAATATGATTTTGCAGCTCATAGAAAAGTCCCATCTTATTTTTTGTTCACAGGTTAAGTAAGACTTTTTCCGTCACTGATTTGCCTATTTTATGCCAGTTTGTCCCAAAGACACCCTCCTCCTCCCCCATTCAGTCAGATCTGCACCCTGGTGACTCACATCTGATGATGTCACACTCTCCCGGTTGCCATGGCAGTCGTTATGGCAACTGCAGCCAAGGTTTCAAAAGCTGAGAGCCATTCACAGGTGCAAGTCAAGGGTTAATATTGATAGTTTAGTGCTAATTATTTGTTTCCCTCTGCTGCTTACACATCAGCAGTAGCTTTACCATCTGGCAGTGCAACCTTTACTCACACCTCCAAGCATTTCTTTATAGCAATAGGCTTTTTGCTTCCACAAAGAACTGTAGTCATACCTGGGTATCAGAATTATTAAAGAGCTCATATCATAGGAAACAAAATTTTATTTCATCGTTTTTAAATAGAAGAGTTTGAAGTAAGCACTGTTGAAGTTTCAAAGCATACCATTCACAGTCCATAGAGTCCTCCTATGGAAACTAAACTGGAAAAACAGTTTGTGATGTCCTTAAAACCCACACATTTACATGATCTGCATATTCAGCTTATAGTAATTTAGCCCCGCCCATTAATTTAAATATATATCAGGTTTATAGGCACTGTAACAAAAACAGCCTGTTTGGTTCTAAGGGTTAAAAAACAGGTTGGAAAGTGATCTTGTAAAAATGAATTCTTCCATCTACAACATGATTAAGATCTACTCACAATTTTTTAATCATGTTCAAGTCAGGAGACATGATGGATTTTGAGGTATGTTTTAAATCATTGCCCTATTGTAGAAGCCATTCTTTCTATTCTTTTCAGCTTCGGTTCCTTGACTGACTGTGACACATTTGCTTTCAGAATTTGCTGATATTTAGATTAATCCATTCTTCCATCTACCTGTGTAACGTTTCCTTTGCCACTGGCTGCCACACAACCCTAAAGTATAAGAGATTCATCCCCATGCTTAACAATTGACAAGGTGTTCTTTTCATCAAATACTGCTCCTTTTTTCTCCACCAACCTTTGATCATTTGGGTCTTTGGGTTCTATTTTTACTTCATCAGTTAAAAGAACTCATTTCTGAAATGTCTCTGGCTTGTCTAGATATTGTTTTGCATACTTCAGTTGTTGACTTTTGTGATGAGGTCGCAGGTAAGGTTTTCATCCTTCCATGTAGATCAGCACAGTAGAACAGTACATCACCATGCCTGCATTAGCTAAACCTTCCTGCAGGTCTTTTGTTGTCATATGGGGGTTTTGCTTTGCCTTTCTGGCCAGCATACAGACTGTTCTATCTGAGAGTTTTCTTAATGACATTTCAGACAGTGGAAATTGTGATCTGGACGCACTTTGATGTCTTTTTTATAGCCATCCTCTGCTTTGTAGGCATTTTTGAATGTTAGCACAAGGTTTGAAGAGTCAAAGAGTTTCTTACACTCTGGAACTGTCATCAGCCGACAATTCACAATGGCAATTATTGACCTGCCTGACCTGTCCTAACTAGTCAATTGTAGCCTAATGAATTAATTTTTTATTTTTTAGGTCAGAAAAATGTTGAGAGATTTCAGAGGTTGCAGGCCATTCATGGTCATGAAGGGTTAATATCATTAGCTTAGCTAACGCAAAAGCTGCGTCTTGCCACCATCTTTATTTGCATCTTCAAGCTTCAAAGCATAAGCTGCATCTGACAGGCCTTTGTTCGACTTCTGCTCGCTGCAGAAGTGAAGAAATGCATTAGCACAGAGCAGTGTGTGTGGAGCTAGCACACCAGCTGGCCGTGGTCATCTCTCTCCCACCCACTTCCCCAGCATGGAGCTGCTAGCTAGCTGCTTGGTGTTAGTTTGTTGTGTTGCTCTCAGTGCGACATGATATTTCAAACGAAGGTGTTTTTTAGCACCAGCCTGCTGTCTTATCTCCACTCCCACCTGCTGACCCACATCTCTCCTCGGAGGCCGTGACCGCCACAAAAGCGACATCACTGCCCCGCTCTCATAGATCTCTCCTGACAGCCAAGAGCAGCCTCCTCGCCAAAACAACAGCAGCAGTGGCTCACGCAGCGCGGCAGGGAGCTGCGGCGGCAGGGAGTTAATGTCACAGACTGACTTGCGTGACCTTCAGAGAGATGTTATGTGGCGAGAAGTCTGGTGGCACCGTGGAAATGACCCTGGCTTCTAGTGTGATAAAAATGACTTAATGCCCAGCACAAGTCAGTGCTATCTAAGCACATTGTTTTTGATCTGAACCTTTAAGTGTCTAGAGTTAGTACTTTCATTTTCTATACTCAAATGTAGTTACATAGTAATTGCTTACTTATGTAACGAATTACACTCATTCAAACCAGATTGTGTATCAACAGGTTTGAGTCTGCATTTTTCTGTTTGATGTCAAAATTTTGTCCTAACCGCAAAACAAGACTGTACATTCCACAATAACTTTTCATCAATTTCAAATCATAATAAAACCCACTTCTACAAACACAAACATAGTTTTAGTTGAAAGTTTAGAATCTGCTTTTTTGAAAGATTGTTTACCCTTGTTACAATATGCAATGATATAAAGGAGTGAAAATAATGAAACAAGATGTTAGGAGAGACGTATTGCATATATGGGTCACTTAAAAGGGTTTAAGGTAGAGTAGTAGTATTACTAGCATATATATATATATATATATATATATATATATATATATATATATATATATATATGTATGTATGTATGTGTAGATAGATAGATAGATAGATATCGCTGCTGTTGGAACAAAAGCTTGTATCTCCAAAATGATAACTTTATAGGAGAAGGAAAAAACACTTTACTTTTAATGTCAGTCAAAGGTACCAGAATTTTTAACAAGTCATTTTGGGCCATTTCTTCTGGACCATTCATCATGAAATTTACATACATAAAGAACAGGCATTTTCAAATTATGTCAAAAACTGAAAAACAACAAAAATGTAGATATAAGGTTTTGTTCAGACAGCAGCGATATAGGGTAATTATATATTTAATTATGTATTAAAAAAATTCTAGAGACTCCAGTACCTCGTTCACATATTAAAAACACGTAGACGTTTCAAGAAAAATCATTATATTCTAGAACAACTTGGTATGTATAACAACAAAATGTGGAAAAGTAGCACTCTGACATGTTTGCACTTTCACTTAAAACTGCTGTTTAGCCATGCACAGCGTCAGGAAAGGTAATAAAAGTGACACCAATACTTTTTCAATTGCAAATGTGCTCATTACTGTTGTGATTGTTCATCCCTCATAAGAACTACTGGCTTAAGACATTCATTATTAACTACTCACACAGTAGAAGCTGTTTAGTTTTGGGAAACACGAGTATGAGAGAACGTACGTTGCTTAAGAGCCTCATTAACACATTTGTTAGTTGTGAGAGCGAACGTTATGAGGAAAGCTCAGACTGAACTGCATGTCTAATGCACCCTTTACACTCTAAGGGCAATTATGGACACCTAAAATGTTGTGCAAACGATTTTGGTGTATAACTCACAAATAAAAATGCTTTGAAAATGTATAATTCACACTAATTACTGAAAATAATGTTGCTGATAAAAATTGCTAATGCAGTAAAAAAGTAGTCAAATACCAACTACTGGCTTATTTAGACTTAATAAGAGCATTACAAGTGCTCTGGATAATGACTAATTTACTCTTAATTACTGCTTAATTACCCACCACTGGATTAAGGCTTACTGAGCACATTAAAATGCTCTGGAAAATGTTTAATTCACCCTAGTTATTGCCTAATAATGTAGTAATAAGCAGCCAGTTAATTACCAGCTCCTTGCTTCTTAGGTATTAAGAAGCACATTACAAATGCATTATAATATGCCCCTATAGTGAAGTGCCCCCACCAGTAGTCTGTGTTCTGGGACTTCATCATTTACAAATTAAGGACAAAATAAATAAAAATATTACAGTATGTATTTCTGCACAGCTTGCTGCTGTTTTTTTCTTGTCCCAACTGCAGCAGAATTGTGTTGGGTCTCTCTAAAACGTGACCTTACTTTAATTAACTGCACGTCTGCAGTATTTCAGCTCGGAGGCATTGAGAATTGCTCAGTCAGCCTGATTTATAAGTAGCCTATTTGTCTGTTTTTCATTTTTTTTTATTACCATTTAATCACTGCCTTGTATAGCTTTCTTTTGCCCAGCGTGAGCGAGCTGAATTGCTGCATCATGTGTTTGCTCCCCAGGGCTTTGTGTTTTATGAATCTTTCAGGTCATAGTGACTCAAGTCAGAGTTTCATCGTTTACTGTAATAGGAGCTTACAGTAATAGTATATTACCCGCCGGCTGTATTCCTGCTCTGCTTTCCGGGAACAGCATACGTTGGAGGAGCTGTGAAAATTCATTGCATCATAGAGCGTAGTTAGAAGGCCTACAGCTGCTCAAGAAGCTCAATTGATTTCTCCTGTCTGATTTTATTACATAATAAATAGACCATATAACGTTCGCTTACTTAAGGTACTAAAGCTGTGTGGCCCATTGTACTCTGAGGCTGTTTGCTCATCAGATGTTTGTTTGACTGACTGACAGCTGAAAGCTGTATTTATATGGATCTCTGTGTGTGTTTTTCAGCCGTAGGTCAGTGCCCCCGCAGCCTGGACTGCGCCCGAGAGGGCCGCCACTTTTGCCAGCCCGGCTCGTCCCACTGCGGCCCCTGCCTGGCTCCTCTGGTGGAGAATAAGAAAGGGAAATGTGTGGTCAGGAGACGGAACCACTTCAGTAAGTATCGTCTAAAGTATAACCCAGTGTCTGCAGCCGAGAGGAAGACAAAGGAAGTGTCCCTGTCATGCTAGTTGTTTTGATCAGCAAAGTGCAGTGAGGCGGCCTGTAATGAGGGTTAATAAGAAGTTGTGTCTGAATACTGCAGTTGTGGACCTCAGCGCTAGTCAGTAAATCTACTCACACTGCAGATATACTTTGTATTCTGTTTTATAGACAGAGCTCATAAATATATATTAGGTTGTGGTTGCACAGCATTACTGTCATATCAAAACAGAGTGTAGAAGAATGAAGTATATCCTTAAAGAGGTTTTTGATGAGGAAGTGCTGGTGTGGTGAACATGTCACTGTTCTGCCTTTATTTTGAAGTTTTTTCTGTAAATATTTAATCACATAAAGGAGTAGGGAAAAAGATCTAATTTAGAAAAAATGTCAAACACTAATAGAAGTGACTGTGCCTCAATTTCGGCAGACTTTTATTTGTTTTTATAGATAACAGTATATCATACAGCACCAGAAATCACAAAACGCCACAATTATATCAAAAATTTGTAACTCTGTTTTTTTTTCATTTTGTTTATCTTTGCATCATTTGAAAATAGAAGCTGTCCTTTACATTGTCTGAACTTTCGTTAACAGAAATGGACCAAGATTACTTACACATATTTTAAATTTAGGTAAGTTGTTTGTTTCTGAATTTCTGTCTAAGCGTTGGACTTATCTCCGTGGCCAAAAAAGCAGGAGAGCTCAAGTGCCCTCCCCCTCTTTTAGTGGGCAGCATGGCTATTCTTCTCCGCAGTCACTAAGCAGAATGGTCACCAACATGGCCATTTGTTAGCTGATGTAACAGAATTGGCGGTTAGCGCTTTCCTCCAAGTGTGTTGAGCCCTCCACTGGTGTTGCTTTAGTAGCAGTTTAAATGGATACAGTGGTGCTCCATGTGTTTGGGGGAAGCCTTCACCCTCCCAGCATTGCGTGCTTGGGGGAGACCTGGCTAACAGGTGGAATTGGCAATTATTCAATTTTGGAGAAAATTGAGTCAAAAAAGAAAGCTTTTTTCCTAGAAACTTGCCATTTCATGGATTAGATTTTGTTGTGATACAGACTAGTCAACTTATATATTGCTGCTGTCCAAAAAAGTAATATCTCTGAAATGGTAACTTTAAAGGAGAAGGCATAAAAAGTTTTACTTTCAATGTAACTTAATGTAATGAGATTTTTTTCAAAGCAATTTTGGAGCATTTCTATTGGTTCGGTCATCATGAAATTTTGACACAATGTAAAAGAGCTGCTGTGCTCAAATGATATAAAAAAAAAATCGAAAAAATGGAGATACTGTTTGACAGACAGATGGTGATGTTTTACAGTAATAGGCAATGACATCAAGTAAAAAAAGAAATACAAAAAGACAGAATTTTAATTGAAAGCTAAGTTAAAGAAATATGTTTTCAGATGTTTTTTAAATATGTGAACTGAGCTTGACTGTCTAGTAAAAGATGAACTGAGCTCCACAGTTTAGAAATGTAAGAACTGAAAGAGTCTTTCCATGTTTTCTGTATTTTATGGAAGGTATTTGTAGAAGTCCAGTATCTGCAGATCTAAGATCACATGTTGGAACATAAACAGACATTCTGTGATGTAAGCGATGCTATAAGGTCATTTAGAGCCTTTGGAAAAGCTATAGGAGCCTGAAGCCCTCATACAGCAGATGAGGCATAGAGCAGACTAATTATTTTGACGTTCCTGAAGAAGTTCTAGTTGCTGGGACACAACTGATCCGTCATCTTGGTTGTTACCATGCCAATACCAGAAAAAACAGTGATGAGTCGAGTGAGTTCGGGTTGCCTCTGGATGTTTGGAAAAATTTAACAGAGGATGAAAAGATAATGTTGCGTTTTTAGCGTCTGAAAAATTTGCTTTGTGAGATGTTCAGTTGTACGCATGCTCTGGTTAATTTATTGACGTCCAGATAAAACGCAGAAATTAATAGCGCTCAATGGGTAAGGGCTTTAAAACTGTACTGAAATACAAACTGCAGCCACTAGAAGCAGGACTGAACACACTGGACACAGGCAGGCCAGCTTCACATGAGTGAGCAGCCAATTTTGAAACCTTGTGGTTATTTTTCTTTAAATATGCTTAATGACAACTAATCGACCTCCTTTTCTGTTACAAATGGATGATCATACATCCCCTATACTTTTAAAAATACAATTGCTACTGGACTGGCTTGCTACTTTAATTGTTTTAGAACCTTGGTATGTGGAGGTTCTTTAAACTTTATGAAAGCATCTCATTTACAAAAGTAATTATTTAAATAACTATCCACTGAATGGTTATTTATATAGCCAAAACTGGTTCTTCTGAGGCATCACTTTAAAGAACCCTTTGTTCTTAAGAGTGAACTGGTGTAGGACTGTGAATCAGTAGGCAGTGAACGTGTGGATGACAACTGTATGCTGATCCAGCACTCAGCATTTGTGGAACGTTCTTTCCAGTAAAGTGTAAAATGGTGGGATCATCGTCACTTTCACTATCATCATCCTCCTCCTCATGAGCCACATCGCAGTCATGCCCAACAGTCACCACTGTTATTATAACCACATGCTTTTAGATCTGACTAAGCCAAGTGATTCACTGTTTCTATGGCTATAATTCAGCATCAAGCCACACGGCTACGGAGCGTCTTTATCCTCAGCGAGGGAAAATTGTCTCACTAACAGCAATTTCATTTCTTGGTCCCTCTGTGTGATTTCATGTCCGATATACACAGCCCTATTAAGAGCAATTTAGCCACATAATGGGGTCTTTGGACAGCGCAGAATGACGAACATTTGAGTCAGAGCTGAGAGAAAATTAGGGCCAATAGTTCTGGGGTCCGTAATTCACTCTCCACATTTTTTGGGCTTGAGTGGAATTAATCCTGAAATCCACTAAAGTGACCACCCACTCACATATACTGCCTTATGTCTGCCCTGCAGTAGTTGGTCACTGTCATAATAAATATACATACAAGCTATATATTGTCACTGTTATAACAAAACCTTGTACTTCCTAACTTTTAAGAAGAAGGAAAAATGTTCTTGACTTTAGTGTATGTTAATGTGACAAGATGGACTATTTATATTGGTCCATTCGTCATGAGATGTTCACAAGGTGAAGGGCAGATGTCATTTTCAAGATGTGTAAAAAATGAAACCCAGAAAATAAATGGATCATCCTGCATGTCACAAAGGTTGCAGGGCTTAAAAAGATGCTTAAACTATTAGGCACAGCTCCAAAAGTCGGTATGTACACTTACACAGTTGAACTAAGATTAATTAATACTTTCCCCTCATGATTTCTCTGATTTTTCTTTTTTAATCATGTTTCATAGTCGCTCTGCATCTGTAAAGCAGCTCATCACAAAACCAATTTTCAACATTTGAGAAATCATTTTTACCATAAAACAATATTTTTAAGAGGTTTAACTTAGGAATTTGTATAAAACAGATTCAGGTTTACTTTTCATATCAACAACGTTATACTACATTAAAAAATATATATTTTATTTAGAAAATTAATTTGTCAAAGAGATTTTCGTCACTGGTGTTATCAAGACTCATCACATTTGAACATATTTTCAACTCTATTAAACTGCTTCTTTGGGTCGAGGCTCATCAGAGTGGAAGGCGAGTCACACTAGCTCACTATATTTCTTTAATTTATTAATAATTTTGTTTATCAGGCAGCACATAACTTATATGTGTCACCCGTGTTATGTGCTTTAATGGGTGGGTAATTAAAATTTCTCAAAATAATGTCATATATAATTTTTATTACTGATTTTTAATAGTTGGACAAGGTCACCTGACCACCAATGAGTCAGCCAATTTACAAAATCCTCAATTTTACCCAGAATGTCACTGGAGTCACAGTCACTGGTGTTATACCATATTCATATAACACCAGTGACTGTAAAATATGTGTGGGATTAAGCTCTCCTTTTTGCATACATGATAATAGGAGACATCAATAGACATATTAATGTCATTTAGTTTTGGGATGAAAGAAATTGATTTTTTTTTTTAAAGTATCCATCTGAATTCCCGCTCAAAATGGAGAATGACCCAAGTAATTTGTTTTATAGGAGAAAGAAAAGGATCTCAACTTAAAGGAGTGTTTGGTGAAAAATCAAATGTACCTATTTGTCCACTTACCCCAGTTGTATTTGATCAGCCACGACATGTTTGCTTTCCAAATTCTGCTTCTCAAATTTAGCGCTGGAGCTTCAAGGCTTATACTAGAAGTCAATACTCACCCAAATCTTTTCCATAAATACACCCCCAGAACTTCTCTCAACCTGCATCCAGATTTTTTATTAAGGTTGCGCAGACCTGACGATGTGGTTTAGACTGCAGTATGACTTGTGAACAGAAATTCGGGTTTATTTACAGAAAAGATTTGGGTGACTATTGACTGGATTGGATTGGATTGTTTGCCAAACTGTTCCTTTAAGAATGCAAGAAAGAAGCTTAAAAGCTTGAAAGGATTGATTTTGAAAATGAATATTGTTCCATTTTTTATGAGATGTTCATATAATGTAAAAGGCAGCTGGCATTTCAAGGTTTTCCCGCCATCCTTTTCTGCCATTCTCTCCTTCTCCCTGTCTTTTTGCTTTTTTCTACTCCTTTTCTTTCCTTCATGCTCTCTTTATCTTTCCCTCTCTCACTCCTTCCCCTGCCCTCTCTCACATCCTTGCTTGTCTCTCTCTCACACCACAGTAGTAAGGGTGCAACAGGAGGAGAGAGAGAGAGCGGGAATAGATGAAATGCAGCTTTGCGCTCTGCGTGCTGCAGTGGCTGGGATGACGAGCGATTCGCAGAGGGAAATCACGACTGCATACAGACCGCCTGCTCTCTACCGCTCTGCTCTTAACCCCAGCTCTCTTTCATCATGCGCTGCTGCTCAAATGTTTGGGGACACCTTGCCCTCTTTTGAAATTTTCTAAGTAATATTAA